GTACAAAGTTTCATTGAAATGTGACAATTACTACTTGAAATATCAAGAGCTGAAAATTAATTAATTATGCTAATTAGGTAATTAATATCTACTGATATTACCCTAAAAACTTTCAGGTTTGTGCAGTGTCCTATGACATCTATGTACCAAGTTTTATTGAAATGTGATGATCAGTACTTGAGATATCAGTGGAAAAGCCGAAAATTGATTAATCATTATGCAAATTGGGTAATTAATATTGCACAGATTTTTACCCAAAACTAATCAAATCTGCGCATTAGTTTGGAGCATCTGTGTGCCAAGTTTCATCAAAATCCAATGAGTGGTTCTTTAGATATCAGTGGAACAGTCATGAAACAGCCAAAAATCAGCTAATTATCATGCAAATTAGGTAATTAATATGCATGGATTTTTACCAAAACCTAATCAAATCTGCGCATTGGCCCAGAGCATCTATGCACCAAGTTTCATCAAAAACTGATGTATGGTTCTTGAGATATCAGTGGAACAGACGGACACACATACACACATACACACATACAGACACACTAACTGCAAAGACTCCCTTTTTGTGATTCGCACACGGGAGTAAAAAAAAACTACATAGATCATTTAGTGAGTCTGGTTACAAATGAATTCATGGGAATGACACTTCAGATTTTTTATTCTCAAACATACATTGTATGTTCATCACTTGGTACACGTTCATGTTTATGCTTCATTCTCATTTAATGGTAAAAGTGCCTCAATTTACCATCTTTGATCCAATTTTTAAATTAATTTTAATAAACATATCCTGTGTCATGAGTATCAAATTGTAATGGCCATTGCATATATGCTGTATATCAACGTTGTACATTAAATCACTTGCAACTTGCAAGGTAAAAAAGATGGTTGCTGGTTTGCGTTCAGGTCTCCAGAGCGTGCTATCTCTTGAAATCCAGTTTTGTCAAGTGAACCTCAGGGCCAGGAACAAAATCATGTCAAATAAATGGCCATCTTGAGAGGCTAAACCTTTTCTCTGACGGCCTCTCACTGATTTCATGTGTCACTTCTCAAAATAGAGTGCATCATGCAACATAATTTTCCATACTCCCATCACATGACCTGATTGCAACTACTCGACCATTAGTTTTCAGATTGCATTTTTTGCGATATACATTGTTGTAGTCTTGTGTAGGGTCTGTTTTGTCCATGCACTTGTGTCTAAAACAATATTTAGGTGAGATTTAGTCATCTCCAAATGGTTATATTTAAACAAAAAAAATCACAAAATCAACATGTACATAAGTGAAACAAATACCGTAGTATGACCAAAAAAAGAAATAACTAGAGTCTTTGATAAAATTCTCATAGAAATGTATTTCGTATAAAGAAATCAACTCTTCATCAAATATGGCACTGTGGATTTACCTTTAGTCCATCATAAATAAATACCCATACAGCACAAAAGAATTTACCATACTGACATACTTTGATAAGTACAAGGATAACAATCACATTAAGTATTACTAAGATAGAACACATGCACACACTGATCAATACAGTCTTAGACTAGTTTGTTATTCCAATTGTATATAACACATGTACACGTATATGGGAAAGACAAGACTTACAAAAAATGTAAAACAACATTTTACAACTTTACGTACTTACGATACCATAATTATAATTTTGGACAAAATGCACATCATTTCTTAGTAGCCACTAAGGTAATTTTTTTTTTTTTTTTAAATATGGAAGGAATTTAATATGTTAAACTGTGAACAGCGCTCCATGAATGAATTATATTTTTCACAAAATATAAATTTGATAAGACCGCAGCAAACAATGTAAAGAAAGCAACAAAAAGATGAGATAGATAAGTACCATTTCCGGGTCACCAGAGCTGGCTAAATTATTAGCATTAACAACATCGTGCAAAAGTTTATTAGAGGTCGGCCGTGCCATTCGACTTATGTACTGAAGATAACAAAGAAAAAAAATAGTTAACATTAATTAGAGAATTATTAACAAAAAAAACAGACACAAAAATAAGCATTACAGCAGTTCTGGAAATTATTAAGATAATCAATTAGGAAGATAGCTTGTAACTTTTCAATTTGGTTTTTTGTCCAAACTAGTCATGACGTCACTGTTCCATTGACACAAGGGCGGTTTAGATCTTTCTATACAGTGTAAATAAACAAAAAATGAAATAAAGAATTATACACAGTGTGCCATTAACCAAACAAGACTGTTATTGTAATAAGAACAAAAGTCCCAAGCCATCTTTCTAACAGACTACATTTTGTATGCAAATAGTTCTCATAACCGCTGTCAAAGAATTAAGCCCATCACAGAGAGGATTTGTGACACTGATTTCAGTTTGGGTTGTGATACTGATTTCAATTTTGGTTGTGGTACTAATTTCAGTTTGGGTTGTGGTATTGATTTTGGTTTGGGTTGTGGTACTGATTTCAATTTTAGTTGTGGTGCTGATTTCAATTTTAGTTGTGGTGCTGATTTCAATTTTAGTTGTGGATGCTGATTTCAATTTTAGTTGTGGTGCTGATTTCAGTTTGGTTGTGGTATTGATTTCAGTTTGGATTGTGATGCTGATTTCAGTTTGGGTTGTGGTACTGATTTCAGTTTGGTTGTAGCATTGATTTTGGTTTAGCTTGTGGTACTGATTTCAATTTTGGTTGTGGTGCTGATTTAAGTTTGGTTGTGTGCTGATTTCAGTTTGGGTTGTGATACTGATTTCAGTTTGGGTTGTGGTATTGACTTTGGTTTGGGTTGTGGTGCTGATTTCAATTTGAGTTGTGATATTAATTTCAGTTTGGATTGTGATGCTGATTTCAGTTTGGGTTGTGGTACTGATTTCAGTTTGGTTGTAGCATTGATTTTGGTTTAGCTTGTGGTACTGATTTCAATTTTGGTTGTGGTGCTGATTTAAGTTTGGTTGTGGTACCAATTTCAGTTTGGTTGTGGTATTGATTTTGGTTTGGGTTGTGGTACTGATTTCAATTTTGGTTGTGGTGCTGATTTCAATTTGAGTTGTGGTATTGATTTCAGTTTGGGTTGTGATGCTGATTTCAGTTTAGGTTGTGGTACTGATTTCACTTTGGGTTGTGGTATTGACTTTGGTTTGGGTTGTGGTACTGATTTCAATTTTGGTTGTGGTGCTGATTTCAATTTGAGTTGTGATATTAATTTCAGTTTGGATTGTGATGCTGATTTCAGTTTGGGTTGTGGTACTGATTTCAGTTTGGTTGTAGTATTGATTTTGGTTTAGCTTGTGGTACTGATTTCAATTTTGGTTGTGGTGCTGATTTCAGTTTGGTTGTGGTATTGATTCCAGTTTTGATTGTGGTTCTGATTTTAATTTGGGTTTGTGGTACTGATTCTGGTTTGTGGTACTGATTTCAGTTTGGGTAGTGGTACTGATTTCACTTTGGGTTGTGGTATTGACTTTGGTTTGGGTTGTGGTACTGATTTCAATTTTGGTTGTGGTGCTGATTTCAATTTGAGTTGTGATATTAATTTCAGTTTGGATTGTGATGCTGATTTCAGTTTGGGTTGTGGTACTGATTTCAGTTTGGTTGTAGTATTGATTTTGGTTTAGCTTGTGGTACTGATTTCAATTTTGGTTGTGGTGCTGATTTCAGTTTGGTTGTGGTATTGATTCCAGTTTTGATTGTGGTTCTGATTTTAATTTGGGTTTGTGGTACTGATTCTGGTTTGTGGTACTGATTTCAGTTTGGGTAGTGGTACTGATTTCAGTTTGGGTTGTGCTACTGATTTCAATTTGAGTTGTGGTGCTGATTTAAATTTGAGTTGTGGTACTGATTTCAGTTTGGGTTGTGGTGCTGATTTAAATTTGAGTTGTGGTACTGATTTCAGTTTGGGTTGTGGTACTGATTTAAATTTGAGTTGTGGTACTGATTTCAGTTTGGGTTGTGGTGCTGATTTAAATTTGAGTTGTGGTACTGATTTCAGTTTGGGTTGTGGTACTGATTTAAATTTGAGTTGTGGTACTGATTTCAGTTTGGGTTGTGGTGCTGATTTTAATTTGAGTTGTGGTACTGATTTCAGTTTGGGTTGTGGTGCTGATTTAAATTTGAGTTGTGGTACTGATTTCAGTTTGGGTTGTGGTACTGATTTAAATTTGAGTTGTGGTACTGATTTCAGTTTGGGTTGTGGTACTGATTTAAATTTGAGTTGTGGTACTGATTTCAGTTTGGGTTGTGGTGCTGATTTCAGTTTGGGTTGTGGTGCTGATTTAAATTTGAGTTGTGGTACTGATTTCAGTTTGGGTTGTGGTACTGATTTAAATTTGAGTTGTGGTACTGATTTCAGTTTGGGTTGTGGTGCTGATTTCAGTTTGGGTTGTGGTACTGATTTAAATTTGAGTTGTGGTACTGATTTCAGTTTGGGTTGTGGTGCTGATTTCAATTTGAGTTGTGGTACAGATTTCAGTACGGGGAGGGGGGCTGGAATAGGAAAATTTTAAAATCAGTATTTATTATTCATAGCTTGCTGTGTTACTTGTGAAGTTACATAAAAGCATACATACATACCAACATGACAAGAAAAAGACCTTTATGTAATTTATTGCCAAACTAATGAGACACAGTTAGACACTATTACACAAACAATTATTTGTATCTCCAATAGAAGAGCAGATAAAGTCTTACAATAAAGTGTTAAAATAGTAGTCACTATTACAAATATGTTAACACGAAGCCATTCTTATATGTGCAAAATAATAATACAAATTATTTTGATAACAAGAAAGGAACTCGTCAAGGACTAATGACTATTTCAACTGAATATCCAATGTTGGGAAACAAACAGATTCCATGTTTATTGTATGCGTATGATATAATTGTACTCTTATCAAAAACTATAAGGATTACAAATTGCTTTTTTGAATTTGCAGAATTATTGTGAAAATTAACTATTAGTATGAAAAGAACTAAAATTATGATTTTGAATAAAAAAGTAGTAAATACAAATAACTTTTACATTGGTAATTCAAAATTACAAATTGAAAAAAAAATTACCATATTTAGGAATTACCTTCAATGCAAATGGCATATTAAAATCCTGCATTAAATCTCTAATTTTAAAAGCTCCAAAAAGCTATTATCTAATAAGACGGCAGTTTAATATTTATACTAGTATCTAAATTAAAACTATGTTATTTATTCAACACCATGGTTATGAACATTTTTTTTATATGACAACAACAACTAGATCAGCAAAGAAAAATAAAATCAATGACAACCTAGAATAAGAAAAACTTCATAATTAATTTATTTGCGATTCACCAAAAAAGCACAAGTGAATTGGGTTGTGACAAAAATAAAATTGCCAATGAAAACCATTACATAATGAAATGCTAAAATGCAAAGTTTTTAGCATATAGACAACATTTCTTTCACAAAATTATTTTTCCAGAGTTTGATAAACATAGTCAAGAATGCAAATTTATATACTTATTAAATACTTCAGACACTAACATTATTATAGATTTTGCAAACTATGTATATTTCATTTTTAATGTTGTTGATAGTTGTATTTAGTGACCATACTAATGAATAATTTTAATATGGTGTTGTGTCAATTAATTAATTACAATGTAGATTCTGTTATTAAATACACTGTAATTACCATGACCAGTAGCAATATAAAAATAGGTCATTTGGCTACAAGAAGTTCAAAGTTCATGATATGGAATTGTTGAGATAATCTTATATGACATAGAATCTACTACAGAAATTACTTTAACAAATTAACAATATACAAATATTAACAATAGCCAGTGAATAAATTATTGAATACTTTAATCTCCAAGACCTGAAATGTGTAACTCAATGCATTAAACTATTAAAATGCCAACACCTGTGCAGTTGATAACTTATCGACTTTATTTACCCACCTATCCCTACAGTAATTGTACATGTACTGCACAAAGTGCACCAAATCAAATGCACAGTATTCATTTATAACCTTGCAAGGTTGAAGGTAACAATGTTCAATACAATATTGTATCATAAATACTGATATTACATGTAATCAATCTCTGTGACTACAAATGTTCTATAAAATTTGATCTTTAATTTAATATTTATGGTTGTATATTTTACCATTTGTTAAATGTTTATAATGTACTAGAGGTTTAATCTTTTTATATTTCAAGATGATAACCATCTGTTCCCTAATAGCTCAACAAAAAGAATTCTCTATTTATTATCTTTGTAAAAATCATCACAAAATCTCAAGGTTTGACCTTTGACATTCTGATTTATAGATCTAAACCTCTAAATTTCACAGAGACAAAGATAATTAGAAGAAGCATCTGAGCTCTGTGAGTTGATCTGTGTCACTGTCTTAATAGTTATATGCCCAGTGGGAAGGGTGTGGACGTAAAACACTGTTTGGTTCAGATGAATGCTTCAGACAAATATAACCAAACCTGGCAACTTAATTGCCACCTACCACATATCATGCATAACAGAAATATTGATATTCAATCAAATAAACATTTATAAAGTGTGCTTTCAGTGTTCTCTTTATTATGAGACCATTTTGAAGA